GGTACGCGGGCCTCTCACTGTTGTGGCCTCCCCTATTGCGGAGCACAGGCTCCGGACGCACAGGCTCAGCGGCCATGGCTCACGGGCCTAGCCGCTCCGCGGCATGTGGGATCTTCCCGGACCGGGGCACGAACCCTTGTCCCCTGCATCAGCAGGTGGACTCTCAACCACTGCGCCATGAGGGGAGCCCTAAAATATTATACTTAAAATATTATTTTGAGAGTATGCATAATAATCCCATTACATATTAAGATAATATTTTTATGAAACTTTATTTTTCCAGAATGACAATAAACATTTAGTGCAAACAGTGGCCTTGTTTTACACTTTTGCAAATCTCTTTACTATGTGGCTTAATAGAAAAAAACCGGATTCTCCAATAGCTTCCACATTAAATCTATTGTGATTTCACATGTCATGTAGCCTCTGGAAAACTTCATTGTACACTTGTAAGAGAATGAGCATGAAAATGGCAAATAGCATCCTAGTGTTTATGAAAGGAGTTTTGACCTTGCAGAATCCTAGAAGGGCCTTTGGGATGCCCAGGAAGCTCCAAATAACACATTGAGAACTGCTGCTTTGCCAGAAGCTTGGCCTGTATTCCATGAATATTTTCTGCATCCTTGAGGAAGTACAATTTTGTCCCTTTATTTGAGAAGCTATTTTGTGAATATAACATTTATTAAGCTGATTTTATAATTCCCTGAAGATTTTTGGTCTTACACAGCAAATCCACATATTAACTGATGCTGTTTGCCAAAAATGTAAGCATTTTAAAAATGTAGTTTCTAGAAATACCTTTTGAAAAATAATTTCTTGAAGTTTTTGAGAACTGTACTCGTTTTCTATTTTGTTGTGTTTTTCTGTATTTTTTTTAAAAAACCAAGAGTCTGCCAGTGTTTTCAATAAACTCAAAGTAGGGTGTAATGCTAATTATCTGTAATGAATAGTATTTTTTGGCACAATTAAAGTTAAGTTAAATTTAAGTTATAATAGAAAATAAAAGCTCCTTCCGGATGTTGATATTTTTAAATGTCTTTTTTCCCCATGTATGCTCCCTTTGTAATAGTTATATTTTTAATACACCATAGATGCTGTATTTTGTAGAATTTAATTATGGTTTAATATTTGCCTTTTGTTTATGCTACTCTTCCAGTCACTTTGCCATTAGATGTGAGCTTTGTAGAGATTAATTCCTTTACAAGTTATTTGTAAAAATATTGATATTTCTATCAGAGACGTTTTTATTTGTCTAACATAGAATTTTTGTTTTCCATAGGCTTTTAGATTATAATAGGAGGATTAAGAGATCTTAATAAAGATAAGATAGTTCACCCATTTTATAGTTAATATAAAATTATCTTTTTTACTTTTTAGGTGTGGAGTATGCTGATAACTATTTTTGTTGCTTTAAGTTTAGTGACCATATCAACTTCTAACATTTTTTTCTTTAAAATTACTTCCATTCCTTTTTGCACCTTTGTGATTAATTATTTTACTTTATTAAGAAATAGTTTTATAGTAGTCTACATCTTTTTTTTTTAAAGGGTACATGGTAGATGATGTATGTGTATATATAGTATTTAAAATATTGATACATAGAAAAGCATGTGGTGGAAGGTAATATTTAAAGATTTTTATAAAACTTTTTGCACTCAGTTTTTTTGTGCAGAATTTACTTACGAGCTTGATGACGACAGTAGAAATTGGTGAGACATAAGCAAAGTGATCAGGCTATTTGTAACATACTAGTGTTGATGAAATTTGTCATTTACAAGTGAGAAATAGGAAGCATAGTTCACATAGTTCTTCTGCTGTGCTTTTTTCTTTCATTTGAACTGAATAGAGAAATGATAGGTAGTAACTATATGTATTAGCTCTTGCTCCATAACAAGTTACTGTAGAACATAGTGGCTTAAAACAACATACATTTATTATTGAACAGCGTTTGTGGGTTCGGAATGTGGGGACAGCTTAGCTGGTCCTCTGCTTCAAGTTCTCTCAGAGGCTTTGAGATGGTCATCTCAAAGGCTTGACTAAGAAAAGATTTCTGTTTAAGTTCACTGACGTCTTTGTTGAAAAGATTCACTTCCTCTCCAACACGGTAGCTTGCTTCATCAAAGCGTGAATGCTGAGAACACATTAGAGGAAACCAGCAAAATAGAAGCCACTCTCTTTTGTAACCTAGTCACGGAAGTGACATCCCATCATTTTTGCTGTATGTCACTTGTTAGAAATAAGTCGTTATATCTAGCCCACACTCAAGGGGAGGATATAAATACCAGAGGTATAAAAAGACATGAATACTAGGAGGCAGGGATCACTGGAAGCCATGTCAGAGATTGCCTATCACATAACTCTTTTTTGCCATAGCTATATAAAATAATGATGCGATACATTGAGAATGCGTTCATAGATAATTTTTATTCATTTATCTTTTGAGTACAGAGCCTCTATTAACTTTGTGGGAGTTTTTGAAATATAGATGAGTTGCTTTTGATATGATGTTTTGCTGGTCTGCTGTCTTTCTGTTTCTTTGCATCAATTCCTTCAGTCCCTAAATAGGATTTTAGGTCCCCCCCCACCCCTATGCTTCTTTACATTTACAAGTACTTATTACATACTGGAATTAGTTAAATCCTATTCTCTTTCTTTTGAAGATGCCAGATAGTATAGGCTGTCATACAGCTGTACTGTTTTACTTAAGAATGTCACATGCTTTGTTTTTTTCATAAAAATTTGAAATGGAATTTAGTCTTTTGAATATTGAGGTGCTCAGCAATGCAATTAGTAGAGAAGTTTGGATGTAATCCAGTGATTCGCAAAGTATGGTCTCTGGTCAGCAACATCATCATCTCCTTGTTTGGGATGCAAATTCTCTGCCTCACTCCAGACCTACTGAATCAGAAATTCTAGGGGAGGGGCCCAGCAATCTGTGTTTAACAAATTCTTGAGGTGATTCTGATGGCCACTGAAGTTTCAAAACCACTAATCTATTCATTCCCTTTAGAACTTGAATATTACTTTTCCAAAAACTTTTGGCCTGTAATAGAAATCTTGCTTTTACTATTGTATGCAAAACGTTACAGGAAAACCAACATTTTTTCCCTACTTATTTTACAGATAAAGGATACAAAAAAGAAACACAGTGCAGTGCTTTGTGTATTTCAAGCCTGTTGGCTGGGCAGCATGTATGTTGGCCAGGAAAGGTGGGATTGTTGAGGGAGACAGGATGGGGAATTTTGAGATGTATTTTCTTTTTCATTACAGTGTTTCTTCTGTTAACAAGTCAAATACCAAACGGTGATTATTTTAGATGAAAATTGTGTTGGTTTAACATTATATCACATATTAAATTTTCTTAGTAGCATTTTGAAAATACATTTGCTAATTGTCAAAGAATGGATTGTAGAGTGTTTCATCAGCTTTTAAGTTCTGTTTCAGTGAACACTTACCAATAAAGATTTGCATTGAATTATCTTAGATGAAATATGGGTCGCACAAGAAGCACCCTTTATAAGTTCTCATGCCAGCTTTCTGATGTGTAGATACTGTTTGGAAAGATATCTATATCTGTCTATGTTGCATAATTTTTGTGTTCTTAATTCTTTTCAGTTGATTTTTTAAAAATCTGTCCTATGATACTACTGTCTTAAGATTAAAATTTAAAGCAAAATGTTTGTAATTTTAACTACCTTTGTAGCATACTTAATAGTTTGGTTATATTCTTTTACTTTTATGTTTTGTGAAAGTTTGATAAATGTTTTTGAGGACTAAATTTTGAGAGGGCTGACTAGTATTTTCTTACTTCACATGAATTCACATTGTAGTTAGCTGAAGTGATGCATGTTGCTCGTGTATTGACTTAGGTAAAGTTATTAGGATTACAGAGTGGGTTGCTGAAGTTGGTATGGTTTTTTATCTTACACACCTAGGACAATAGTCATTCATTTAAATAGTCATGGATTTAAATGTGAAAACTAGGTCACATAGTGAAGTCCAGTAGTGCTCTAAAAAAATCTGTACTGTTCTAAAGAAAATCAAGTAATAGTAGACATTAAGAACATTTAATATGCTCTGCCTTCCTTGATTTCCCATTTAGTTTGGTGTCTGGGACTCTGCTAGTTTGTATTGTTTGCTGGATTCTTTTAGCTTAGTAATATAGGAAGCAGCAAGGTACCTCAGGATGGATGAGAATTACCATGAAGTGTAGCTCATTTTAGTAGACTTGTGGATGCCTAATGATTTTTGAAACATGATGGCTGCCTTATATATCTTTTTCAATCTTCTTGGTTTTTGTAAGTTTAGCATATCCTTTTATTGCATGGGTGGTTAAATAAGGTGCTTCATTCTCCATTTTAAGGCCACTTGCTGCTTTAAGATCTTTTTGTATAAACCTCTTATTCTGGTAAAACATGCACAGAAAAAGTTTAAATAAATTATTGGCAGATGTTTCATTGACAAGCAAACACTTGAAAGCAGTTTTTTTCCTATGCATTTAGTTAATGAATTAGATTACTTTTTCCTTTTTGGGAATAGTTTTGATGCAGTTTTTAAGATTGGATTTAGTAAACCATTCTGACATTGTTGAAGTTATTATGGTATAAAATTTTCCTTGAAAAAGTTATTTGTTTTTTTAATTTTTCTACTTAGAAATGTCATTTTTCTTCAAACAAGAAACTTATAATTTGCATGACACATAAATTTTAAATTAGGGTTTATAGGCACATTTGACCAATGTCAATTGAGAATGTTTATACATAGCTTATTTCTTAAAGTTTATAATGTGTGCTAATGAGTGAGAGTCACTCAAATTAGTATTTACTGACTTCTATAGAAGTAGACTTAGTGTGCCCTAGGGGTTTATATATATGAATTGGCTATACCCCCATCCTCCCACAAGTCAAGGGAAGTAATAACCTTTCCACACTCCTGTCAACAACAGTAAAACAATTCACACTAACACTTGAACCTCCCTCGTAGCTTTACTAAAGTGAATATCCATCATCTTCCAAGTTACCTTGCACTACCTGCAGTATTTAAGAGCCCATTGATCACTTTCCCTATTAAACTGTTAAAATAACAAGATCAGATGTTGATTATCAAACTTAGTGTTAATTTCATGGAGTTTGATATTTGTGTATGCACAAGTGTGCTTTTTTAACTGGTGTCTCACTTCGTTTGTGATTACAACTAGTGGGGGAAACCTTGTTATGAAGTTGTTAGACTGGGATTTCATCAGGAAGTCTGACGTTACACTTGTTGGTCCTCTGCAAGAAAACAGAATGCTGCTTTTGACTGAATAAGCCAGGACAATGAGGCGAGGGGTTTTATTTCAAGGTTTTCTTTGGTGATGGCATAAATACATAACAGGTTATGAAATCCAATTACTATATTAAATTTCATCACTTGTTTTTTAGGTATTCCAATAACTGTACCACCTCCAGGTAAAACTTTTTTCATGTTTTCTCCATCATTGTTAATAAACATGAAATTTCAAGCTTACAGTTGCAGGAGGGACAGTGTTGATGTGGTTAGAATGTGGAATAGGCTATTGGGATTTCAAGGTCCTATTTTCAGCTCTGCCTTTGCTTCATTCGAGTTTTGATTAAGATATTTAGTTTTCTTATACTTGTCTTACCCATTTCTGTAGAAATAGAGATTCTGAGAAAATTTTTACCATATCAATTTATTAAAGAAAACAGTATAGGATTAAAAATAAAATTTTTATTAAAAATTGTTTTTTCAGACCAATGAATTTTTTATGTATGATGAAGTGACTGCAAGAGAAGAGAAAGATCATTTATCTTGACTTTATCATCGTTTCTGATTTTTTTATTTTTACCCTGCTGGCATAATTCAGTGTTGTGAGAAAGTATGTTCTGAACCACACAGATAGGTTGACAGCTGGACAGGTGGTTGTTCGTAGAGCAGTGATTAAATTGTTCATTGTTGTAAGGATATGATCAATAGGAGTTTATATGTGGACCAGTGTTTTTTACATTTTTTTTCAGTTCTTTTTTAATTTTTTTATTTTTTGGTAGTGTGATACAAATATGATAGCAAGTGTATTTACTGAGTTCAGTATTAAAAGTCAAGAAGTATAAAGAGAATGAGAGGTGACAATGCTTGGAAGGGTGGGTCTAAATTCAACATGACCTTGATAAACAGAAAATAGTGGAGTTTCGATAGCATGGGATAGTATACATATTTAGATGTGGGATAGAGAGTCACTGATTATGTATGAATATGGCTGAAAAAGACTTAATTAGGAAAAGTCATAAAGGAATCATTGGTGTGTCTTTATAGGTTAAAAGAAGTGTGACTGTAAGGCTATATAAAGTAGGATTGTGACTCTAGGACTAATGTAGTAATTGCTAAATTTTACACTGCTAAGATGCTTAATAGAGGAGAACCTAAAAACTGGACACAGTGAAGATGAGCATGGTGAATTTGAAACAGCTTGAAGCAGGGCTAAAAATGGATTTAAATGGACGTTTGAGAAGGGTTAGGAGACCTGGGGTTCATTTTTACCTAGAATACTAAAAAGGAAGCTTAGTGGAAGTGTTTTCAAACATGTATTTCAATGGATTGCTTTTTGTCCTCATGCAGACCAGCATATGAATTGTAGTGAGAGAGATTCAAATTATATAATTTAATGTGCTTCCTAATAGGGTTATTAAAGCTTGGCAGGAATTGGTTTCATAAGGAATTGGTATCATAAGTTGTAGAATCTTCAAGTCTTGTTGGGATATTTTATTGCCTATCTGAATTTGAAAGTGCAGAGTAGATTTAACTGTTAAGGTCCCTTGTAGCCATACTCTGTGGTATTTCATTTAGGTTTTGTGAATTATTCAGAATGCAGACCTCATGATATAAAGGTGCAAATTATTTCATTTCTAAACTAATTTAAAAACTGTATTATGTGCTTTTCTTTATAAATTAGTTCTTTAGGGTTGTGCTATTTAAAACGTATTTTATGATGGATGTTCTCAGCCTTAAGCATTTATATATTTACTGGTAAGATTTTATTTACAAATTATACATTTTAAGGAAATTTATATACATCTAAACACTCAAAATATTTTTTGAAAGAGGTAAATGCTATTTTATTTGCTTTTCTTCTAAAATACTTAAAGTATATCTGGTGGCAACACTACTACTGTTTTATATATGGAAAAGGTAAGGCATTGAGATTAACTTTCTCACACTCACAAAATGGGCTGTGTGTGGTGCTGAAAATAAGACCGGGTGTCCTGCCTCCCAGTTTGTGCTCTGTGTATTAGACCAGACTGTTCATTTAAAGTTATATCCCTCCAAAAATCTGTTCAGAAATTTAAGCTCCATTTTTTTTCTGTCCATTATAACATAGAGAAGCACGTTATATCCCCAGAGAAATTTAGTGACACACAGCAACCTTAACTCTTGGCATTAAGTGTACATTCTGTTAACTTTTTTTATCTTATGATTGAATGTTTCAGGTTTTCCTCCTCCACCAGGCGCTCCACCTCCGTCTCTTATACCAACAATAGAAAGGTAATCAGTATGGATACTGTAAACTTTTTTTATCATTGATAGGCTTCCGACAGAAGAATCATATGTATCTTGGTAATATTTTCAAAGGTTTAATTTTATAAACAATAGTACCTGCCTTTTAATTCATAAGTCTAGATCTATATTAGTTACTTTTATATAAGATGTTGGACCTATAGCCTAATAACAAAACAGGACAAAGAAAACTAAATGATAGTATTTTGAAATATCTTGCTTTGATTTACGATACTCTTATTAAAGAAACCCCTAGATTGTAAAAACTTGGCTGTAGTCAAGTTTTGTGGGATGTACAAACAGATGACTAGTAATCATGAATAATGCATGTCTGTTTTAGGATTAAGTAAGGATAACTATTTTCAGGGACCACAGTAAAGCAAAGCTGCCTTATTCCTTGCTACCCAGTGCAACTCAGCTTCCACAAAGGAAGATTGTATCCCTTCTGCATGGCAGTAGCCTTATTTTTTATACCCTGCATTTATGGTTTATGTTATTTGGAATGCTGTGGTAAAGAACATTTACCTCTTGGATGGCAATACCATGGTTAACCCCATAGGTTTTGGAATCACACTAACCTGGTTCAAATTTGGCTTCAGAATTTCCCAGCTTTGTGTTCTTAGGCAAGGTTCAAAACTATTCATTGAGACTCACATTCCTCTTTTACCAAATGGGGGGTTGATAGAGTTGTTAAGATTAAAACAGCTAGTGAATATAAAGCATCAGCACCATTCTTTGCAGATAGAAATAACTAATAAATGGTAGCTATTATTATTTCCTCTTAAGTGGCAAATAAACTCTATAAAAAATACTGTATTTCTGAAAAAGTGATTTAAACTATATAAAAAGAAAAATTGTGAGAACTTTACATCAATAACATAAAACCATGCATATGATTTTCAAACGAAATGATAAAACTTGGTGAAGTGTGACTTGTGAGACCATAGGATTTAATTTTAAGTTCTTGTTAAACATATATTTGTTTTCACAGTCAAAATGTTAAAAAGTAGTATTTGTTGATTCTATCAGTAGGGCTGAATTTCTGATTTTTAATTATTAAAGTCAGTTTTTTAAGGCAAAATTTTAACCAAAGTCTGAAATACTTTGTTAGCCTCGAAGTTTCTGTTACTTATTGTGAGTCAGGCTGAATTGATTGGATTACTCATGTTAGTACTAACAAGCTATATATTTTCTTTACAAGTAGGTGTTAGGTTTTGAGGTTAAATATCCTGTGTTTTTAAGTATTAAAAAATAAAGTTACAGAATTACAGGTACCATTATATGGTGGTTAAATAAAAGTCATAATTCTGCCTTATGTTTTTGCATTTGCACCAAATTATTAAAATTCAGAACTTCCTTGCAACACATAAAAATATATTTTTCTTCGACAGTGGACATTCCTCTGGTTATGATAGTCGTTCTGCACGTGCTTTTCCATATGGCAATGGTAAGTGTTACTTTTTAATTGCCCAGATTCAGTTTGAATCAGTAAAGTACTTAAGTACTTTTAAAACAATAGAAACATACTTCCACGGTTTAGAGTACTATCTTATAGAGCAATTAAAAAATATTTACTACAGGAATAACTAGGTCTTACATATATTCCAGGTTACTTAACAGAATACTTTTCATTTCTTTACCAACTATACTTTTAAAAATTAACAAATGGTGACACAACGGGGATATTTGTCCCTTGCCTTTTCCCAAAAGGATTTAGGATTTGTCACCAAATTGTCGATCTTCATTGTCCATAATCTTTTTTGTTTCTTAACTCAACGGTGTCTGACTAACCTCTTTCTCATCTTTCCCCCTCACTGGTTTATCTTTTCTTCTAGATCATTTGGCAGGTTCTCTTTCATGTTCACTCTTGACAACTTTATCCCTTTTAAGGACTTCTGATACCACTTTCTGCTTAGATTTCTTGATCCATTCATTTATTTTAAAAGAGCTGTGCATTGTACTAGGTTTTAAGGATACAGTAAACTAGACATAGGTTTGCTTGCCTTCAACAAATTATAAGCTAGTGAGGAAACAACCAGGTGACAGAAGAGGGTATCATAGGAGCATGATGGAGGGGTCTCCCACTCCACTGGAGTGGGGTGTAGATGATTTGATTTGGGGTTCAAATCATGTTCAGAAACATGGGGGTGTGAGAGAGTGTGGTAGGCTTTATGAACTGAACGAAGTGTGGTGTGGTCGGAGAGTAGAGAATAGATGAACATCTAGAGATGAGATAAGAAATGGTGTGGGGCGTTACAGCCATGCTGTAGAGTTTAGACCTTAGTCAGAGGGCTGTGAGGAACCATTTAGTTTTATGCTGATTTGCATAATTGCTAGGTTTACATTTGAAAAGCGGCCATTCTGGCTACTTACTGTGAGGAAATTGGGGATTTGTAGGGTGGGAGAAAGGTGGGAAGGGCAGAGATGCCTGCTTGATTGGGAGAACAAGAAGCTGTTAGAGTAATCCAGGGGAAGAAATTTATAGTCCTGAATTCAGCGGATACCATGGGGGATGGAGAAAATTAGTGGTTCCAAAGGCATTTAAGGAGTAGAATTTGGAAGTCTTGGTGAGAGATCAGATCATAGTATCAGTCATATACTTTGAGTTAACCTTCTAGGTATCTCTGTCAGGGTTTTTTTTTTTTTTTTTTTTTTTCAGTCCGCGGGCCTCTCACTGTTGTGGCCTCTCCCGTTCCGGAGCACAGGCTCCCGATCCTCCGCAGGCTCAGCGGCCATGGCTCACGGGCCCAGCCGCTCCGCGGCATGTGGGATCCTCCCGGACCGGGGCACGAACCCGTGTCCCCTGCATCAGCAGGCGGACTCTCAACCACTGTGCCACCAGGGAAGCCCTGTGTCAGGGTTTTGTAATGTCCTTCAGACCCACCTTGTTCAAAGCCACATATTCCATTCATTCACATCAAAAGGTAGTCTTTCTGTTATTTGTTTCAGTGGTTATATCACATTTTTTCCCCTGGGCTCCCAGGAAGTCATACTCTTTGGGTTGGAATCTTGCTTCCCCCTCTCATTATTTATGTGACTTTTGTAGATCTTTAACCATTAAATGGAGAGCATAATTCTTCCTCATAAGATCAGAGAGAATACACTGAAGCATGTTAGTCCTGCCATTTAATAAACACTCAAATATTAGCTGTTATTTTTCTGATTATCCCCATCTCCAACAAGCTCCAAGTTCCTTCCCTTTTCTGCACTTGGAGGTGGTTGTTTTCCACATCTGTTAATTGAAGTTTGAATATAAAGGACTCAGCACAGTGCCTATAATATGTACATACTCGATAAGCATTACTTATAAAAATAATTAAAATTTATTTTTACCTTTTTTATGGCACTTAACATTTTCTGCTTTGTCATTAAATTCCTGTGTATTTGTTTCAGTACAGGTGAACTTGAGGAATAGCCCATATCAGAAAGAATAAGACTTTATTCTTGAGATTACCTGCGCAGTTTCCTTGTGGAAGATTTCATTTAAAAAAAACTGGCTAATTAAGCATTTAACTTTTTCTCAAAGTAATACATGCACATTTTTAATAAAAAAGCAAGAGTTTTCTGCTCACTCTTTACCACCCCTTCAGAGATGAGCTTTTTCCCCCCTTTAATGAGGATGTCTTTAGTACTAACAATGATAAAGCATAGCACAATAATTAAATAGAGGAAAGTTAGGTTTCTTTATTCCAGTCAGACAAAGCCTTGGAATGAAGATGATAAATACTACTTCCTCTTTATTGGTAATTCTGTTTTACCTTTGTTTATTTTAGAATTTTGTAGTTCATCCTCAAACACTACTAAACTAAGTAACTGTAGATGGAAACAATGATTTTTCTTGATGTGCATATTAAGATTGTGCTTATAAAGTAATACCTAGTTTAAAAGTAACCTTTGCAGGAATGTTGAAGAACTGCACAGACAGACATTTTTAATGGTTTTTAGTTCTTTTGATGGTCTGCATGGCATTTCTACATAGGCTTATCACCCTATTTCTTGATTATATAACTTTAGATACCATCTGTTATCTTCCTAGTGTGATGGATGTGTATTTTACTCACTTACCATCATTACGCCTCTCCTGTTCCCCTGAAGTTAAATTATATTACTCTCTTTCTTCCTCTTTTTATTTATATACCTACCCTCTGTTTCATGTACCATCAGTCTCTACTACTGTGTGTCTTTCCAAGCCTTCACCTCTTTTTCCACCTCTGCCTGCCCCTGCTTTGATCAGTTATACTTCTAATATTCTGTCTTGTAACCAAAATTATCTGTGCCCTGACAAATATTTTATTCTAAAAGCTAAACAATAAACCATAGTCACATTATTATGACTGTGTAAATATTCTGTACTGTAGAGATAATTATACTCAAGTCCCTCAAAGAAGAAATTTTCTATGGCAAGTACATTAAAAGTATCATTTTTTTTTAACACTTCATCAACTGTGCAAAGTCATACCACATTTTAATTGGGTTCGTATTTGAACCATGAGTTTCTCTACCTCAAGTATACAAAGATATTCTTTAATACATTTTTCCCCAAAAAAAAGTTTTCAAATTTCTTTTTCCTGTGTAAGTTCTTAAGCCATCTGGAATTAATTTTTGCCTACGTTATGAAGTAAAGATGTAATTGTCCCAGTGTTACTTGTTTATCCTTCCTGAGGGATCTACAGTGTCATCTCTCCATTCGTGTATCAAGTTTCCCTGCATGCATGGATCTGTTTCTTACTTTTCTAGACTATTCATTTGGTTAATTTAACTGTCCCTGTGCTAATAATGCCACACTACCTTAATTTTGAGTTCTTTAGTAAATCTGATACCTGGTTCAGCAAAATCTATCTACCTTATTCTGCTTCAGAAGTATTTTGGGGCCATTGCTCTTACATATCTATTTTAGAATCAACTTTGCAAGTTCCATGAAAAACTCTGTTGATTTTTATTAATAATTAACGCTTATGCATACAATATGACAAACACTGTTAATTCCTGTAATCCTCACAGTCTTATAAAGCAGGCGTACTGTTACGACCCTCATTTTATGGACTAGGGAATTTAAGAACAGCCAGATTAAGGCCATTTTCCCAATGTCACACAATAAGTGGCAGAGGCAGGCTTTGATACCCGTAGCCTTGCTCCAGAGTCCTTTCTCTTACTATACCATGTTTGTTACATTGATGCTCTAGAACAGTTTGTAGGAATTCATACCTTACAACATTGTGTTAATGTATGAACAAGTACTCTCCATTTAGGGAGATGTTCTTTAATGTGTTTCAGCTGAGTGCTATAATTGTCTCCATACACTTCTTGCACATCTTTGGTTAGATTTAGTCATAGATACCTATTTTTTGTTCTTATAAATGGTATATTCATTTAAGCTCCGTGTACTGTTTGTGTTTGCTTGTATTTAGAAATATAATTGGTTTTTGTTTTATTTATATGTATATATATTGATCAATATATATGTTGATCTTGTAGCCTGTTACCTGTTGAACTCTCACTATAATTTGTCTGCAGTATCATCTGCAATTCCTTCCGTTTCAGATTCTTATTCCTCACCTCCCCCCGCCCCCAACCCCCTTTTTTTGGTCTTATTGTTCTGGCTAAGGATCTCCATATAATATTGAAGTACTGAAAGTGGAGTTCTTGTCTGGGGATACCCCCCCCCCTTTTTTTTAAAGGAAATGCTTTTATATTTATGCTACTAGATTTTTACTCTTAGGTTTTTGATAAAACCCTATGTCAGTATAAGGAAAATCTCTTCTTGTTTTCCAAGGGCTTTTAAACTGTGAACAGATATTGAGCTTTATCAGATGCTTTCTGAGTTGATCATACTGTTTTCCTTCTCTGTTAACGTGGCAGATTTCTAAATTTTTCTAATGTTAAGCCACCTTTTATTTGCTGAGGTAAACCTAACTTGGTCATGATTGATTACCTTTTTATTTTTTAAAAATAAACGCTGACTTATTTATTTAGGATTTTGACAACTAAGTTCATATGCAAGATTGTTCTGTGATTCTCCTTTATTTGTACTGTCCTTAACTGGTTTTAGTATTAAGGTTATACAAGCCACATGGGATAAGTTAGGCAATAATCTTTTTCTCCTATTCTCTGGAAGTTTGTATATTATTAGAGTGATCTGTAGTAAAAGTCACCTGTAAAAGCCATCTGGTCTTGTGGGAAGGTTTTAAATTACGGATTTAATGTCTTTAATAATTATGGTACTAGTCAAGATTTCTTTTCACTCTTGAGTTACTTAATGTGTTGGTCTAAAGTATATTCTCTGTATTGTTTAATCTCTGCAACATCTGTAGTTGTAGTCCCTTATTGGTTCTGATAATTTTTATGAGGTCTCTTTTTTCTTAATCTTGTCAGAAGATTATCATGTTTTATTCATCTAGTCTTTAAAAACCATCTTTTAGCTTTGTTTATTGTATGGTAGTTTTCTGTTTACTTGATTTCTACTTTTATCTTTATTATCTCCTTTCTGTTAGATTATTCTATTTTTTCCTAGGTTCATAAGTTGAAAGCTTAATTCATTCACTTTCCATCTTTTCTAATGCAGTGTTTTTTAAGATTAATTTCCCTCCTGAACAGTTTTCATTTCTAGACTTTTGATATATTGTGTTTTTGTTTATGTTCAGTTTTTAAATTATTTTAAATTTATGACTTTTTTGACCCCTGAGTTATCAGAAGTGTGTTTTAAATTTGATATATATATGGAGATTATTTTCCCATAATTTTTAATTTTTACTTCTAATTTAAATTGTATGGTGGTCGGAGAACATGGTGTCTATTACACTTACCCTTTGAAAGTACATAGTATATTTTTATAAATGTTTCATATGGGTGAGAAGAATGAGTACTCTATACCTGCCCTGGGCAGTATTCTATGTTATATCCATTAAATCAACTTTGTTAGTGGTATTTTGCTCGGTCCTCATATATCTATAGTATTTTTTTGTTTGCTTAAAGTGTCAGTAATTGAAAGAGTATGTTAATCTCCCATGATCATGGTGGATTTTTCTATTTCTACCTGTATTATTTCTGTTAGTTTTTACTCTGTGAAAAGTAAGGCAATGGTGTTAGATATTTGGAAGTTTAATTTGTTCTGTCTTCTTGGTCAGTTGCATCCTCCACCTTCAAGTAGTCATCCTTTCTTCCCCGAGTAATCCTTTTTGAATGAGTCTGCTTTAATACAGCTACTCATATGGAAATTGGGGGATATTAGTATTTTATTTTATTACTATTTTATTAGTATTTTATTTTATTAGTTTTTTCCTCCCATTCTTTTACTTTCAGCCATTTTGTGTGTTTTTTATGTCTCTTATTTTCATTTAGGTAGAATTTTTTTAAGTACAAATCAATAATCTCTGTCACTTAACTAATTAATTCAGTGCCTTTTGTATTGTGATTTTTGAGCTATTCACACTTGCCTCCCATACCCCCATTCTTTCTAGTTCTGTTTTGAATTGACTGAATTTTTCAGGTGATTTTTAAAAAATTCTATTTTTCCCTACATTGTTTTGAAATAATATACTTATTTCTGTTTTTTAGTGGTTACTCTTGAAATGTAATATGCATATATCTGGTAGAAGTTTTTTTTGGTGAACTCTTGTTTATAACTTTCACGTATTTTTGTTTATGAATGCCTTGTTTTAATCTTATTCTTGAAATAAAATTTTGAGTACATATTTCTAGGTTGATTGTTACTTTCTTTCAGCACTTTGAAGATGTCCTTATGTATTCTTGTTTACATTTTTGATGTATTGGGAAGTTTGTGGTGTATCTAATTCTCATTTGCTGTTCACCTTGCAAAATGAGGAGTCTTTATATGTTAGATCTTTAAGGTTTGTTTCTGGGTATTTACCCAGACTGTGGGTATTCACCATATGTTATTTCTCTATTCTATATATAAAATAATTTTCTTTTTAATCTAGTGAAGCATTTTTGTGGGATATTTACTTCTTTTGGTCTTCTTTGTTTTTTAGGTACCATAACTTTTGTTTTTAATTATTATTATTTTTTCTCTATAGTTGCCTTTCCCCACCTTCCTGGTTCTGCTCCTTCATGGCCTAGTCTTGTGGACACCAGCAAGCAATGGGACTATTACTCAAGAAGAGAGAAAGACCGAGATAGAGACAGAGACAGAGACAGAGAACGAGATCGTGATCGAGACAGAGAAAGAGAACGCACCAGAGAGAGAGAGAGGGAGCGTGATCATAGTCCCACGCCGAGTGTTTTCAACAGGTATGTTCAGCGTGCAGTAATTTGTACACCTGTATTTTATATGCACTTTAGAATTTATATTCAGTGCCAGGATGGAAGATCCACTACAACTGGGAAAGGATTGCGTGAAGAGTAGTTAGGATAGCCATTTTAAAAGCATCAAGGCTGTTTATTCATAAGGACTTCCCACTACCTAAAGCAGCAGTCTTCTAATTTGTTTGTTCATTTCTTCCTAAAACAATTTTGAAAACGTCATACCCCCTCACATATTTTTATCTTGGCATCAAAAATTTTTCACCTTAAGTATAAATAGTTATCTATATAGATGTAATTTCCAGTCTGTTATAAATTTCACAATTTTAAAATAAAATTATCATTACTCTATTAAATATATCCATTGGATTAAGAATACTATAGTGATTTGCTGAACATCATTATCCATTTTTTAAAAATGTATAAACAAGCTCTGTAACAGTTGGAAATTCCTCGTTTCTTTTTGTGCTTGAATTCTTACTTCGAGCCACGTCCCCCAGGGAATTTTATTCTAATGCAAAATATTTTTTTTCTTGAAAAAGTTTTTTTAATTGATCCATCCTATCAATCTTCCCTGCAACATACTGTGTAAGTTAAAATGTATTAAAAAATTAATGACCATAAGATTAAGTATTTGAAATTTTTTTGATTTGTTATTTATTTTTATATATAAATATAATACAAATTCTGAAAAATAATTTAACATAACTACATTCTTTAATGCGATGGAAGAGCTTCTTCCCATCCTTAAATAATATTTGTATCCATGAATGAATATTACTACTGTTAGGGTGAAAAAAGGCTTTGCCATTAATTATATTTCTTTCTTTTTTTTTTTTTTTTTAATATATAGAGGTAAGCATTGAGAAACCTTGTTCACATAAAATATGTAAATAAGAATTGATGGAATTTTGTTGCGGTTCTGTCACTCAATTATTTGAGCACTTAAGATTTAGTGATATGTCAAAATTACACAGCTAACCTGTCATCAAGTTATTTTTAAGAATCTATTAGCTCATGGCTCAGTTTTCTTAAAAGCAGATAATTGGAAACCACCTGATTGTTATTCGGTGAAATTGTTTTCTATGGCTGCTGCAATAAAAGTACCATAAACTGGTTAGCCTAGAACAACAGAAATTTACTCTCACAGGTCTGGAGGCTAGAGGTCTGATATCAAGGTGGCAGCAGGTTTAGTTCCTTTTTGTAGGCTTTGAGAGAATTTGTTCCCCGCCTCTCTTGTAACTTCTGGTGGTTGTTAGCAGTCCTTGGTATCCCTTGGTTTGTAGATGATGCTTCACTCCAATCTGTGTCTGTCTTCACACAGCCTTCTCCTCTCTGTGTCTGTGTACAAATTTCCCTTTTTTTATAAGGATAACAGTCTTTGGATTAGGGTGCAACCAAATCCAGTCTGACCTCATCTTGCCTTAATGATTACATCTGCAAAGACCCTGTTTCCAAAGTCTTTAGTTTTCTGTTTCTTGGAAGAACACCAAAAGGGCTTTACCAAGACTTATCGGAGGACTACCAATTATACTTAATACTCTTTATTTTAGAGGTACCCTGTTCAACTTAATATGCTTAGAAAGGGTTAGGAAAATGGAAATATATCTTTTCCAAAATGTCTTTAAAAATGAAACACCTTTATGTGTATTTGATATTTCATGCAAACCTGGAGCTGCATATTTCCCCCATTCCATTTATGGAAAATAGCTACCAAATAACTTAATTGGTAAAAGACAGCTCCTATTGTCAAGCCAGCCAGCCACATCACACCCAATTTCTATGGGAAAAAAGTTTGACTTCATTTTTCTGTTCAGTTAAATGAGTTAATCCATATTTCCTATCTAAGTCTAAGATAAAATAGTCACAGAATTCAAAATAAGGTGCTGCCTCCCCAGCACTTTGTTTTGCTTTCATTCAGAAGGAATTTTTGGTTTTTTTACTGGTTCAGGGAAAATTCTTATGACTCCACACTACTCTACATGATATCTGACGTTAGAACATCCCAGGACACAGGCCAAAATATTCCATTTCTTACTTCATACTTTGTAGCAGACAGATGTATGAGAGAGAAAGGCCTAAAGCCCTATAGAAGCTTTATGGTTCTTTGAATAAAATAGGTCTTACTGACACTAATATTTTAAATTAGATCTTCTTGATGCCATGATGGTTTTTATATCCTGAGCCAATAATGTACTATAGTAAAATTGGTGAAAAGAATGCCTTTCTTTTGTAAAAGGCCAGGAACGTGACGGAGGAGAGGTTAGCCAGAGAAGTGGCATATGTGTTACCTGCAGGTGTATCATTAGGCAGTTCATGTTTAGGAAAGAATAAATATGGAAGTTGAGGACCTAGAAGTTGATTCCCTAAAACTTTCTGTGCCATTGGAAAGAATTCATTTATTGCTAGCATAAAGAATAAAGTCAAAATTCTTTTTATGATCTGTAAGTCACAAATTCAGTGCACCTTTCTATATTTTAACCCTGGTTCTCTCCCAAGGCAATATACTGCATGCTCTAGCTACACTGAACTACTTGCTCTTCTGGAAAGCCTCATAGTTTAACACTTCCCTTCTTCATGTTATTCCTGTCCTCTCTGCCTCACAAACTTTTACTGATTCTTCAAGGTTCAGCTCATATTTGTCTTCTGTGAGCAACTCTGAACCTGAAAGAAAGAATTAATTATTCCTTCACATGCTCCCTAAGCATTTTGTGTATTTTCTTTAAAGCATGTCTTTCTCTTTCAGGGTGTTGACTATCATTTTTCATCTCTGTATCATCAGCACTTTATACAGTAATGCCTGGAACATAATGAATGTGTCAGTGAATAAAATGACTTAACACGTATCAGGGAGGAGGGTGAATACAACAGAGAAAAAACAATCTTGAAAACTGTCGGTGAAACTGTTAGCCAGATAGGTTTTGAAATGGATAAAAATCAACCTTTATATCAAAGCGTTAATTTGGGCATCTTTCTACATATCCAAATGGATATCTAAACATCCATTTAGGTACCTTCACAATGTAGAATGAAATAAGTTAAAGATAACTTTTTCTTTGTTATCAGCTATTTTTATGGGTAAGGTAAATGTAAGGTACACAGCGTTCTGATTTTGCTGGATGAGATGAAGTAATATATCAGTTCAAGATGTGAGCATATGTTTGATTCAGACAGCTATTGTTTTGTTAGATGTGATCATGTAATCATATACTTCTTAATCCAGAAAGGTCCTTAGGGGTTATCCAGTCTAAATTTTGATTTGTCAGATGAGGAAATGGGAGCATAGAGAAATTAAAGCAACAGTAGAGCCATACTATCTACTGGAAATATGGTTGAGATATTACTTAAAATCCTTTCTAGTCTTGAAATTAGGTAGTTTAAAAATTCTGTTATTTTTCACTTGTTTTTATTACTCTTTCCATACTTGATTTTTTTTTTTTTCTTCTTTCGGGAGTGGTGGGGAACCAGATTGATTCTTTCATTCATGTAACTGACATTTTTTTTTAACTTCTTTATTGGAGTATAATTGCTTTACAATGGTGTGTTAGTTTCTGCTGTATAACAAAGTGAATCAGCTATACATATACATATATCCCCATATCTCTTCCCTCTTGCGTCTCCCTCCCACCCTCCCTATCCCACCGCTCTAGGTGGACAAAAAGCACCGAGCTGATCTCCCTGTGCCATGTGGCTGCTTCCCACTAGGTAGCTATTTTACATTCGGTAGCGTGTATGTGTCCATGCCACTCTCTCACGTAACTGACATTTTTTGAGTCCCTGTTATGTACCAGATACAGAGTTGTGTGCCGAGGATACAGAATTACTCATACACTGTCGTTATAGATTTAACCATATAATATTGTCACGATATCTAGGACTGGTTAGAAGTTTAAAACTTTATATTAAAAAAAGTGCAAGAAGAAGCTCCATAGGAATTATTAATCTTTTTCCTTCCTGTAGCTCCTAATAATATGACTTACACACTAGGCACCTGGTAACATTTTATTGACTAAATAAGTAAAGGTATGGTACATACATGCATGTTTGTGTGTATGTGTGTGTGTTGAAGTGTATGTTTTGAGTTTGTGTGGTGGGACATGTGCTGTTAATAACTTCAGTCACATAAGTGCATGAATTCTGTTCAAGGGCATTACTTTCTAGAAGTTGAATTGTTTCTAATGTAGTTAAAATTAATATATTTGAGATAGTACTGTTATCTCTAGAATGTACATGTTCACAAGGTAAGGAGCTTAATGCAAAACTTCAGAGGAAAGAAGTCTGAAATGAATTGCTTTGCTAGAGCTTGTAACTTTTCTTTGCATAAATAATACAGTGTTTATAAAATTCTTTGTCCATTTCAAACACACTCATGCACAAATGCTACTTAATTTTTATTGAAGCTAAAAGTGTTAATGGTTAAACCATATTTGATTTTCATGTTGCTAGCTATAGGGGCATCAAGAATAATGTTTACTTATATCTGACTAAAAGCTCAAGGCCAGAGAGGGAAAAAAAGGTGGAAGAATTTTGTGTTCTGAATTATCCCAGGAATAAAGTGTTCTCTGGAAAATCCAAATGAAGTTTAAGTAAAGGCCATTTTTTTTCTCAAGACTGAGATTTCAGCAATATGGCATGTAGTATGTGTTGTTACAAATTACAGAGTCATTGTTTTGAAAATTACAGACCAGTTTCAACATCTGTTTTTTAGGCCACTTAATTGTGGGCCAGAGAGAAGGCTGGTCATTTTAGGGTGTTTGAAATGAGCTCTAATGATTTCCAGGCTCAGAGACACCTTTGTGCTGCAGCTGCTTATCAGAGAAGGGGTCTTTGTATTTTGTGTACGAGACCAAATCTTCCACCATCTGTAGGAAGGGTCCCATCAGATGGCTGCCTTCAGAATCTTAAAGGCCTCAAAGCTAACAAGAATTGATGTGAGGGTGAGAGGGAAAAAAGAGGGTTACAAAGGACAAATTATGAGATAATTGACCTTAGTTATTTTTAGGTAATTTCAATAACCAGTTGAAATCATTACAAAGAACCTCATTTTTAAAGAGGATAATATTAATGCTAATATTCGTTTGTCATGGTAGGTGTGAGTTTATTCTCCTTTAGAAACTTTATTAGAAACAGTGACCTTTACAGAAAGCGTTCTGCTTCTGAAAATTTTAACATTATATTTAATGAAGATGGTGAGCCTGCCTGTTAGCGGCCATTTGAGGGCCTGCTCTTGTTCCAAACACTTTATAAATGTTATTGCCAGTTCTACAACAATCCTGAAAAAGACTGTTGCCAGTTTTACAGATGAGAAAACTGAGTGTTCACAGAGGTTAAGTAACTTACCCTGGGTCATACACTTGGTAATAAGAGAGTCAGGACGTGTTCCTGGGCCTGCTCTGCACGGACTCTTCCTGCTACTCCACACTGCCTGTCATGGTGCATTGCCTTTCTGATGCACCTTCCCAGTACCAAGTACACATTTATGATTAGAAAAAAAAATCATGTTTGTGTATGTATGTATGTGTCCGTGTGTGTGTGTATGTATCATCCATATATATATATATATATATATGCATATATGAATACTTTAACATTAAAAATGTATCACAGGCAATAATAACTTGGTCAGCAATATGACTTGGCTTTAGGTGTCGCACTCCTGAATTAGCACTTTTGCTAAGAGACCACAGTTAGGCTTTGTTTTTATATGGCTTATACTTCCACCTGATTCTGTCTCCTGTTATTCTCTCTCAGATTCCTTAACATCTTGAGGCTGTGTACAAATTCTAATTTAATAATTTGTATTAAACATACATTTCTAGAAACCAAAGCTCTTTAGTACACAGTGTTCTAAAAGATATTTTTATTCATTCTAAGAGAGTTTACTGACATTAGGATGTAGAAAATGTTGACTTCTATGCTGAACAAAAAGAAAAAATAGACTTGAAGGATTAAGAGAAAAACAGAAATATGTCTCCATTTTCACGAAAGGACATGGAGAGACAGGTCTAAGGAGGTAAAGATGACTACCATCAGTCCCAGTTTCACTAGTCCATTCTCTCCAAAATCAGACAATGGAGGCAGAGCTTAATATGGATTTGAAGTTGTTCCCATGGTTCCCTCCAGCTTCCTCCTCCTCACTCCACCCCCCAACCCGCCTCCCCCACCACACAGATAGCGTTAAGTTATTGGGATGTCAGAATTCAAGTATGTCCATAGGCAATTTTCTGCCTGCATTTTGTGTGGATATTGTGGAAATTCCTTTTTTTTTCAGTCTCGTATAATACTTTATTATCAGCGCCACTTTTCGAACAGGATTTGCTCACTTCGTGTTTCTTTGTCACATTTTGGTGATTCTCACAATATTTCAAACCAGCAAAACGTTGACTTGCTGAAGACTCAGGTGATGGTTAGCATGTTTTAGCAATAAAGTATTCTTAATTAAGGCATGTACATTGATTTTTTAGACATAATGCTATTGTACACTTAACAGACTACAGTATAGTGTAAACAACTTTTATATGCATTGTGAAATCCAAATTTCGTGGACTTGCTTTATTGTGATATTTATTTTATTGGTCTGAACTGAACCTACGGTTCATATCATTGAGGTATGGCTATATTCATAAATTTTCACATCTACTAAGAATGCCAATATATGACGGTTTACAATTGCCCGCTTTCTAATTTGCACTGGAAAATGGAAGTTGCTTTGATGTCACTCTGTTCTTAATGTTTATACCACTTCATTAGATGAATATATGCTTTACGTGATTCAAAAACTTAAGAACCTTTATCTACTTGGAGTATGTCGTCATAAGCCAAATATTTTTAATATATTTTTAGAATCTTAACTGTGTGCCTAAGATTTTATAAATATCATAAGAATTTTGGTTGGAAATCTGAGATATACAAACATGCTTTTAAGTCTAAAAAGTAAAATGAAGCCGCTGATCAAAATTTAAATCAGTCTCAGCTCCCAAATTTTGAAGAAAAACAGCATTTATATAAAATTTCTACCCTATAACAACTGTGAAAGCACAGAACTTGGCCCTTTAACATAATGTGTAATTATTATATATTTTGTATTCTTGTATTAGATCTAGTACTAATTTGGGAGCAGCATTGTTTTCCTCTCAGTTCAACAAATACATACTTTGCACCTATTCTGTGTAAGAGGCTAACATTAGGACTTCTGGTTTGGACTCAGGTCACGTCTTTTGTAGCTTGAAGTCATTCAGGATCAACAATCCAGTTGTCAAGAAAACTTGTTTCTATTCTGATTTCAGTGATGAAGAACGATACAGATACAGGGAGTATGCAGAAAGAGGCTATGAGCGCCACAGAGCAAGTCGGGAGAAAGAAGAACGACACAGAGAAAGACGACACAGAGAGAAAGAGGAAACCAGACACAAGTCCTCTCGAAGGTTTGCTCTTTAATAGTGAATCATTTTGAAGCCAGGAGAAATTGATTTGATTTCAGGAAGTAAAAGCAAACATTTCTAAGTAACCGCTAGAGCATATATGTGTTCCTAATTGGAAGACTATAGTTGGTTCCTTATAGGTTTCAACAAAGATATTGAAATCTAACCAGATTATAATTCCCATAAGCCAAAATTAGCATGGAATAAAAAATATGAGAATTAGACTTACTACATTATCTTGGGGGGGGGGATTTGTCATATGAATCAGTTTTTAGTAGTAATTGTTATTAAACAAACTGATGTTCAGTTTAATCAAAGAAAATTCGGGGCCTTGTAGTCCCCCCCACCAAAAAAAAAACAGCATTAAATTTTAATGCCTATTGTTTGCCTAAAATCAACTCTAGGAAGTATTTCCTGTTCTGATCTAGTGCTTCAGTTTCTAATTTGTAATTAGTCTTTTAGAATGAAGTATATGGGCCCTAGTGGCCCTCTTGGCATAGTGGGCGGTGCGTCGGTCTCATAATCTAATGTATATGGTCCTTAGGGTTCTAGGAAAATACTAATGAAGGTGAGCATTAAATGTAAATATAATCTCAGCATAAAGGTCACATAAAAAATGATTACTCCCCAAAATGTGTTTGAGAAAAAGAAAGTATTAGATTATTTAAAACCCACTGTTATACCGAGAATTTACCTAAAGTAGGTTGATCTGTCACTACTTAAACATTTTTAAGAATACACTTTTCTTTTTTCTTTAGTAATAGTAGACGTCGCCATGAAAGTGAAGAAGGAGACAGTCATAGAAGACACAAGCACAAAAAATCTAAAAGAAGCAAAGAAGGAAAAGAAGCTGGCAGCGAGCCCGCCCCTGAACAGGAGAGCACCGAAGCTACACCTGCAGAATAGGCATGGTTATGGCCTTTTGTGTACAGTAGTGCCAGAAATAGATACTATAAATCTTATTTTTCTGGATAATGTTTAAGAAATTTGCCTTTAATCTTGTTCTTTTAGTATGAAAAGTTAACTTTTTTCTTCTAAAATAAAAGAGTGAATTTTTCATGTTAAGTTAAAAATCTTTGTCTTGTAATATTTAAAAAATAGACAGTAATGACTTTGTATCGAAGAAAATGTGAATGAGTCACTCAGCAGGGAATTTAAAGAGCTATGTTTAGCTGTGTACATAATATCTGATTGATTGATAAAGGTCAAGGTTCCCTCTTGGCCAGTTTCCTTGAGTTAATCAAATACCAGTCTCTTAAGAAGTTGCACTGCAAAATGCATCAAAAGGCACCTCTGAGTCAGTCTTGAGATTAAAACTAGTCTTTTATCATCACTGCTGTGGCACTGTTGCTTTGCATATTAAAGAACTCACAGTTTTGATACTGCAATCTCACTGTTGTGGCCTCTCCCGTTGCGGAGCACAGGCTCCGGATGCGCAGGCTTAGCGGCCATGGCTCACGGGCCCAGCCGCTCAGCGGCATGTGGGATCTTCCCGGACCGGGGCACGAAACCCGTGTCCCCCGCATCGGCAGGCAGACTCTCAACCACTGCGCCACCAGGGAAGCCTGATACTGCAGCTTTTTGATAGCAGGTTTTCAGTGTTCTAAATTCGGGTTCATGGTGAAACTAAAGGGGAACTTTTCTATCCAAAGTACTAAAAGCTAATGGCATTTGGGTGACCTCTGAAATAACTTGCCCTAAATGTAGTTTCTGGCAGGCACATGGACAAATACTCGTCACTGTGACACAAATTTGAATTGCCTCAAAGCCATCTTTTATGAGCTAGGTCAAGCTGGTTTGGCCTTTCTTGATGGTTCTTCCAAGGCTCATTGGTTGAGCAGCACGTAGAGTTTGTATAGTTACTAGCTATACTGTGAATAAAAATAAATAAGCTTTAGATTAGTCATTTCCCATTACATTTAAGAAAGTACAAGTTTATATAATTCTGGGAACATTTTTAGGGATAGCCCTTAGAAGGTATTTGTCAGTGATGATGGTAGCAACATGGTTTTGAAAGAATGAATTACTAGGAACTTTTAAATAGTGATAATAGAAATGAACTTAGTATCACATACTAAAAGACAGCTATATAATTTTTGAAAAATATTTATTTCTCATTTGATGAACATTTTTCAGCAATGCACTTTTAAAATCCTCTGTCTGGAAATTGTTTTTAAAATGCCCATAATGTACCCTTTGCAGACCTCAGCATATACCAGATTTTAATTTAACTGTATGATTTGAATTCAGTGGGGGCATACAAACCATGTCAGCTGTTTAAGAGCTTTTTATTGAATAGAAAAATATAAACTTAAAGTTCTAGAGTAATGAGAAATGCTCCACACTGAATAAAAACTATTAGTAATGTTTATATTTTGAGAATTATATTTTCTGAGGTGTAATTGGCTTTTCATTAGATCCTACTTTTCCTGACATTAAAGTTTATATTTTTACATTGTAGTCTTCAAATACAAAAATTGATAAGATAAATACATTGTTTCAACTTAGCTTATTTGTGATTTCCTGTTTTTCTATGACCCATCATTGATTCTATAAAAAAGTGCCGGGCCAAGAAGCAATGGTGAGAGTAATTTTTCCTTTAAGTTCTTTTAGCATCCTTGCCAAGCAAGCATGTATCATTCCTGATGTACTTCTGCCATTGACAGCAAGAAGAATATCACCACATCTAAAAAAAAATAAAGGTACATGATTAACATTTTGAGCCACAGCTGAAGTTAATGCAAGTTTTTTTGGTGGTCCTAGTTTTTGCTCCATCTGTCAGTTTTAATTATGTTATCAGTACTTCTAATTAAGGGTCTCCCTCACTTAAATTCTTCAAATTCTATCGTTCAGCTTGTTTTAGAAAGAATGCTAAAAGTATAGGAAGTTGCTGTATGGGACCAGGAGTAACAAATCATTTTGGATTTCTTAGAAATGGAATGCTGCATAAATGTTTTAAATTTCTTACCAATGAGAAAAGATATAATAGGTGCCTTATTTCACATGGGGCCAGGCTTTTTGCACGTATAAAACACAATCTTTGGATGTAAGTTTTTTGTTAAGTAGTCATTATTATTACCTGATTCTTCCATCGTTGTATGCTGGTGTTCCTTCAACAATGGATTTGATAAAAAATGGTTTGTTCCCATTGTATTCTTCATAACCTCCTACAATGCAGAAGCCCAGACTTCCAGCTGTGTTTCTTCGCAGTATAACATCTTTACAGTTGTACAGGTACCTGAAATAGAATGAAATCAATGTAAATGCGCAGTTAATTCGAACTCATAGTAATGACTGTGATTCATCTCCCGTTCCCTTTATTGGCATTATATTTTTTAGGCGTAATAGCACTGGATGGGTCTCATTCAAAATTGTGTCATA